ACATCATTGTTAAGGGTTGTACGTAGAGCTTGGCGGTATGACCAAAATATTATATCTCGGTATTTTCAACATTTTCACCGGTTTCACGGTATTTGACGGTATTTTTCTTTTCATCACAGCTTAGCTGATAATAAAATGTATAAACACTGCTTATTGACTTTTTTCTTTTACTGTAACTCTGTCGCTGTTTCCCTCCTCTGTGTCTTTTCTTTGACTGGTGGTTGGAGACTGTAGTCACGCATTTGGGTCCAATCGTGAAGAAGTGTTAAGAAAAGATTATGATCGGTTCTGTAAGAAATATTCGTGTTCAAAGACTGAAGTCAATAGAAAACCATCAATGTTAAATAATATGATTGTTAGACGGAATGAAACCATACAAAACCAGAATTCTGGAGTGAGGGTTTGTTGTCACCGCTGACAGGAAACCACGCACTGCCGGCAAACCAGGAAGTTGATCCATTTATACGAGTCTTCAATGCCCGCGTTCGCCCCCTACTGACCTACGGCTGAATCACAGGCATTCATACAAAATTCTCACCTACTGTTCTCATAACGGATAAATATGTGTTGTTATAGATATTTCAGACATGTAACTAATCTATATCAATCAACACATAATAGATTAAGCATTATAAAAAGGAAAACCTAAAAATATAGTGTTGTGCTTTTAACATCAGTAGTAAACTCTAATAACTATAAATTTCTTCAGTTCTTTTGTTTTATGTTATTTAATAAAGCTTATCAGCACGACTCACCTTGCACACCAGTCAATTCCAATTCCATTACAATCTACTTCCCCCAGGCTTTTCACAATATAAGCACGTTAAGTCTCCATCAGCATCGTCTCACATTAACTAACCGCGTTAAATCTAACCGTGTACGTCACTGAAGAGGTGTTTACTACATTCAGCGACGGCAAAAATGGGATTTTTTTAACGTCAGTCAATATAAGCAGCGGAATCGCCAACTGCTGCTGCAACAATTTGCTCCAAACATTAGCATGCTAACGCACATAGCGGTGCTGCGAGGAAAAGTGTCCCCCAGGAAACAGCTCAGTGGAGGACACGACGAAACGTTCCACACGTGTTCAGGCTATTTAAACCGGAATGTCCGGAATTCAGAAAATTCATATCATAACAAAAATAAAAACCGTATTCGGTACAAAACGGTATACCGCCCAGCATTGTTAAGGGTTGTACGTCATTGCTCAAGATCGTACATCAGTGCTAACGGTCAGATATCATTAATGGTCATACATCATTGCTAATGGTTGTAAGTCGTTGCTAGTAGTTGTACGTTATTGCTAATTGTTGTACATTATTGCTAACAGTCATACATCATTAAGTATCGTACATCATTGCTAATGGCTGTACATCATTGCTAACGCTACATAATTGTTAAGGGTTGTACGTCATTGCTAATGGTCGTACATCATTGTTAATGACTGTACGTCATTGCTAATGCTACATAATTGTTAAGGGTTGTACGTCATTGCTAATGGTCGTACGTCATTGTTAAGGGTCGTATGTCATTGCTAATGGTTGTACATCATTGCTAATGGTCGTACGTCATTGTTAAGGGTCGTACGTCATTGCTAATGGTCGTACGTCATTGTTAAGGGTCGTATGTCATTGCTAATGGTCGTACGTCATTGTTAAGGGTCGTATGTCATTGCTAATGGTTGTACATCATTGCTAATGGTCGTACGTCATTGTTAAAGATTGTACGTAATTGCTAACGCTACATCATTGTTAAGGGTCGTCCGTCATTGTTAATGGTTGTACGTCATTGCTACTGGTCACACCTTTGTTAAGGGTCGTACGCCATTGCTAATGGCTGTACGTCATTGCTAATGGTTGTACGTAATTGCTACTGGTCATACATCTTTTTTAAGGGTCGTACGTCACTGCTAATGGTTGTACGTCATTGTTAAGGGTCGTATGTCGTTGCTACTGGTCATACATCTTTTTTAAGGGTCGAACGTCATTGCTATTGGTAATATATCATTGCTAATGGTCATACATAATTGCTAATATTCATTGCTAACAGTTGTAATTAAATTCTTATGGCCGTACATTATTGGTGACGGTCGTACGTCACTATGGCTGTGTCTAAATTCTGGGGCTGCATCCTTCGAAGGTGCAATTTGAAAGCAGATTATATCACCACAAATGTGTCCTCCTTTGTTGTGTTATTAGGCTTTTGTCATTTGCATAGACAAGTTTTTTAAATTATTCTTGTCAAAAATCAAACAAACTTGTGTATTGGGTCTTTTAGTTCTTCAAGTATTAGTTCTAAACTAATTTTGTTAATGTATAATATTAATAGTTGAACTTCATTCCTTCTGTTTAGCACCGTCACTGTTGTTAGGTGACAGGACATACACCGGGGTAAGAGTGGGAATAAAGCTGAAGGCTAGAATGTYCAAATTCACAGTCACTCATTTCCAGTTGACAAAGCGCCCGTCCTACATACTAGGTAGGCCGGGTCTTCCAAAAGACACAGACCCTGAGTTTGAACAGCTTGCAGCTGTTTGAAGCGACTTATGGCCGTACGTATTGACGTGACAAATCGTTCTAAACTGAGTGACTTTTTAAAGAAAGTGATACACAATATCCGGCTCCTTTCAAGCAGTCTTAAATCTAGTGTCTAATATTTGTGGATCGTCTCATTTGTCTTTCTGTTTCTGATCATTTCAAACTGGTCCTAGCTTTAAAACTCTATTTGAACTCTAAAATACTATTTTTTTTATTTTGAATGCGCACAATAATAGTAGTTCTGCCATTTCACGTCATTTGTATAAACAATATATATGAAGTATTTTAGAGCACATAGACTGTAATTTATTACAGTAATGGTTTCTCTGTTCTACATTTGGATTTTTTCCCCTCAGTTCTTTTCTTCTTGCTGGTGCTGTAAGCAAGACTTAATGATGACAGTGTAAGATGCTGACACGGCACCTGCAGACACACGAGGACGAAGGAAACAGAAGGAGGGACAAAAACATAAAAAACGGGAGGAATGTTACGGTTAGCTTTAAATTGTGCACAATGATTTTGTAACCTGAGGAAATTATTTAAAAAACCCCATGCAATTTACAGTATCTAATTTTATTTTTGACATTTCAAAAATCAAACAAAAAATACTAAATAAAACGGCTTGGAGGACGTAAATTGAAAACCACTTGCATTCATTTATAATTTCCTTTCTTAAAACAAGAGGAATTATTATTTAAAAGATTACATTTATAATAAAAATCTTGTGGGATTTGTTGGTTGGCACTGTGATTTTGTGTGGTAGTTACAGAGAGTCATCCCAGAGTGGACACCACAGTGGATTATTGGTTTGCAATGTTGCCGCAGAACAATGTCCTASGTTCAAGCCCCAGGTCAGACTTGGGGTCTTTTTGTGTGGAAATTATGTTTTCTGTATGTTTGTGTGGGGTTTTGTTCAGTTTTCTCCTACAAACGTGGATCAATGWGGGTAGTGTGAACATATTCTTACAGTAAACCTGACACGCTGCAGACTCAAACAAGTTGGGTCCCTGATTTGGGTTAATAGATCACCGGAAACGCTGTGGACTAAGATAAATCAGGTCCCAGATTTGGGTTAACGATTCACCAGAAGCACTGTGGACTTAGATAAATCAGGTCCCTGATTCGGGTTAACGATTCACCAGAAACACTGCGGACTAAGATAAGTCAAGTCCCTGATTCGGGTTAACGATTCACCAGAAACACTGCGGACTAAGATAAGTCAGGTCCCTGATTCGGGTTAACGATTCACCAGAAACACTGCGGACTAAGATAAGTCAGGTCCCTGATTCGGGTTAACGATTCACCAGAAACACTGCTGACTAAGAAAAGTCAGGTCCTTGATTTGGGTTCACGATTCACCAGAAACACTGCAGACTAAGATAAGTCAGGTCCCTGATTCGGGTTAACGATTCACCAGAAACACTGCAGACTAAGATAAGTCAGGTCCCTGATTCGGGTTAACGATTCACCAGAAACACTGCTGACTAAGAAAAGTCAGGTCCCTGATTCGGGTTAACGATTCACCAGAAACACTGCGGACTAAGATAAGTCAGGTCCCTGAT